CCCTCCCGGCGCGCGCCCCGCCCCCCGCCCGCCCGCGGAGCCCGCGCCGAGCCCGGGTTCCACCCGAGGGAGCGTCTCAAAAGTGCGCGCGCAGCTCCCGGCCTCTCCGGTCGGCCTCGCTCCCAGCTTCCTGCGTCTCGGATCCCTGCCCCCTCCCTCGGAGCGCCCGAGCAGTCTCAGCAGATGGCCGCAGGGTCGGCAACATCTGGAGGTCGCTGGAGTGTGTGTGTGTGCGTGTGTGTGTGTGAAAGAGAGGTTGGTAAGAAAGAGATTGAGTGGGTAAGGGTTCCCTCTTCTCGAGTTCATCCCCCCCATTTGTTTAAACGGGTGAGAGACGTTAGTGAGAGGGAGACCAAGAACCTGAAGCCGAGGAAGACTGGCTGACGGACGAACCCGCAGAGAGGAGAGAGCTGAGCTTCGACAGAAGAGCTGGCGGGAGAGAAGAGAGAAAGCAAGAGACTTCTTTTTTTCTGGAGGGAACCTTCGAGGTCTGGCTGCATTTCTAAAAGGAGAAACTGCCTGTGTGCCTAGGTAGCGGTTTAAGTCTATTTCTCCCTCCCACCCCTCATTATGGTAAAAAGGGCAGGAAAGCATCCAAAAAACTTTTGAAAATGGGCGGAGGGAGAAATTGCCTGGAGGATGCACTCCCTACAGGGGGGTGGGGGTGAGTCTGAGGCTCCCAGCCCACACCCCCGGACAAGTGCGGTGAGGGAGGGGGCAGTTCTCAGGCACTCCAGAGGCATATGGCCAGGGGGGCTGAGGGAGGCTTTGGTCTTGAACTCTGGACCTCCCAGGGGCTTCTGCCTCCCGTGGAGAGGGCCCCTGGGCGCAGACATTGGGCAGTGCTCCCCTGCAGTGGCCCAGACTTGCACACTCAGTCTTTTTGCTCCTTATTACTTTTTTTTTTTTAGTTAAAAAAAGTTGCTTGGTCTTGTGTGTATGTGTCTGCCTGTCTGCCTGGGGAACAGAGGCAAGTGGGGAGATGGGGAGGGAGGAGTGGAAGCCACTACCGGAGGCCTCAGGGCAGCAAAATCAAATCTGCTGCGGGAGAACAAAGTGCTCTTCCAAGTCCTGCGCCTGCACTCCAGGTGGTTGTGTGGTCCTGGCGACTCCCTCACCTGGGCTGAGACCCGCACCCCTGCCAGTTAGGGAGGCTGGGGAGAAGGCTGGGAGCCTGGTCTTCTCAGTGTGGGAGCGGGGAGAGCTCCCCTTTCTCCTCTTGCCCAGTGTCCTCCCCCAGTTAGAATCCCCGCTTCCAGGACTGGGAGGCCAGCAGGGGCTGTCCAGCTCAGACTTCTCATCAAACAGTCTCAGAAATTGGACCACAGGCCCCTTGGCATCCAGTCACCACCTCACAGTGGAGCTGAATAAAGAGGCTGCTGAGATTCAACTCTGCATCCCCAAATCCTTCTCTGCATTCCGGGGCCTCAGGAGGAGTCAGAGCCCTCCTGTGTGGAGGCGAGAGAGATCCCCGAGCTTGAACAGGGTCCAGGCTCCGGCCCTGCCCCTTACCAGCTCTGGGTAACCTTAGGCAAGTTATCTAACCTCTCTGAGTTTCTGCAACTGTAAAAGACACTGTTGTGAGGAGTAAAGAAGGTTACTTAGTAAGGCGTTGAGTCTGGCTCACAGGAAGCCCTGCTGTGTGGTGTTATTGCCGTTATCATTGTATCAAGATGTCTCCTGTCAGAGATTAGTAGGGTCTGGAAAGCCCAGCAGGCTTGGGAGGGGAGGAGACAGGGGAATGGTCACCTGACCCTCTGGCCAGCCTAGGCCTGGTGCCTGCCCCCTCCTCCCCTCCCGTGGGGGAGAGGGCTTACTTTCAAAGGAACCCCCAAAGGAACCTCCCTCCGTGCAGAGTTGTGGAGTGAGGCTCACGCTCAGCCTCTGAGAAATGGAGATAAATACCCAACTGTTGGTTCCCCTGGAACTCGGGATGCTGTCCCACTGCCTTTTGTGTGCAGGGTCCAGCCAGCTGGGCTGGAGGCTCCAGGCTCCTCTGAAGGGCCTCTCCTTAACATAATCAAACAACCCTTCACACCGGGGCTGGTGGCTGGCAGTGGTTTCTGAGCACTTCAACATTTATGACATTTATCGTTTCCCTTGATCTTCCCTAACTGGGAGGTGGCCTCCAGGGGCTCTGGGTGGGGAAACTCCAACAGCCCTACCCACCTCTCCCGCAGCTCTGTGCCTCCCGTCAATGGTCTCTCTGCCTCCTGTCTGCCCTCCACACTGCAGCAAAAAATGACCTTTCTAAACTGCAAATCTGCAAAATGGATCATGACACTTGTCTGCTTAAAACCTTTCAATGCAAAAGCCAAACTCCTCGGCTTGGTAGTCAAGGCCCACGTGATATGCCCCCTCACCCTCACCTCTTCAGCCTCATTTCCTGCCACTGCTTCTTGCACATCCCAAGCTCTAGTCCTCTAGTCACATGGAAACGAGGGAGAGGACGGTGAGGGAGGGCCGTGTCTCTGCATTCTTCAAGTCTCTGTCCTAATTCCCCTCCCACAGGAAGCCCTCTACCTGGCAAAATTGGTCCCTCCTTCTGTTAAGTTGCCACATATGCACAATCACTTTCCCCATTCTCTTCACCCTTCTTGTGGTCATCCTGGTGGTTATCACATGCCGGGGACTGTGCTGGATACTTTTAAGATCATTACATCATTTCATCCCTACGACAACCACCTTAGATTGATAGTGGTGAGGCCCAGAGAGGGCAAGAGATCTGTTGGGGGTTACACAGCATGTTCTCTGCAGAGCTGGAACAACAGTTGGGGCTCCAGTGTTCTTTCTGCTACCTTATAATCAACACGAGTTGCAGAGTGTGGTGTAGTAGAGAGGCCTTGGAACCTTAGAGCCCCAGGTGCAAATCATTGCTCTATCTCTGGCTGTCTATGAACTTGGGCTAGTCACTTCTTCCCCCTAAGCCTCAGTTTCCTTACCTGTAAAATGGGGATAAATAAGAAGCTCTACCTCACAGGGATATAGGGAGGATCAAATGAATTCATACAGATGCAAATATGTTGTATATTGTAGGGTGCGGTATGCTTTTAATTGATGTACTTGACAGCCATCCTGCAACTGAGGGTGACTGGTTGGCATTTTTTCTCAGAACTCTCCAGACTGGAGGTCAAAGGCGCCATTAGACCCTTTGGCCACCTTGCTCATTTCGCACGTTTCGAGAAAGCTAAAAGCTCTTTCTTTATCTCTGCCTTATCTTAGCTGTCGAGCCCTGACCAGAAAACCCTCCAAATCCGATGTATTTCCACGAACCTCCAGGATCTCTATTTTGCTTGCTGCGTTTTCTTCTTTTCAGCTGTCAGAAGCTGGCAGATCTAAAGTTAATAGAGCTCCAGGACCAAGTGAGGAAATAATAGAAAAGAAGAGCTGGAAGAAAAAGAATGCCTGTCCAGGCTCCCTCCTGATTCTGCAGATCTGAGGTGGCCTGTGGCGTGTTGTGTCTTTCAAAAGCCCCCGTGGTGATTCTGATGTCAGCATGGGGACTGCGGGACATGGCAGAACGCCTTAGGGTTTGCGAAGTCCTTCCACACGCGTATTCATTCTTAAACTTCTGAGCAAAGGTCTCAGGTAGTTGCCTATCGCCTCCATTTTTCGGATGTGGAAACTGACACTCAGAAGTGACTCATGCGGGATCACATGGCTAGAAGGTCAAACTGGCCTTGGAGGTCCCTCCAGCCGTTCCTCTGCGGGGCAGAGTGCCGCGCACAGGCTTTGCTGGTGTCTCAGCAATCGCTGCATGATGAACACTGCTCCCCTCTTGCCAGGTCAGACGCTTCCCTAAATATTTCTTTCCCGCTCTCCCACCTCCGTGCTTTTCCCCTGCCTGGAATGTCTTTCTCAGCCCCGTCTACCAGCTGCGGTCCTCGCTGTCTTCCAAGCCCTGTGCCTCCTCCACAAAGGCATTTCCATTTCCCACAGGTTCCCTTCCTTTGAGCCTGGAAGCATTTGGTTTGTGTCTCTGTGTAGCCCCTTCTCCAGCCCTGCCTCCTGCTGCAACTTGATGCCCCCAGATCCCCAGCTGTTGGGGTTCCTCGAAGATTCTGGCAGTTCGTTGCTTCCTCTGTGCCTTTGCTCCGCTGTCCCCCTACAGAAGTGCCCCTTGCCCCACCCCATCTCTTACTTATGATTCAAAATTTAGCTCAGTATCCCCTCTTCCAGGCAGCCTCCCTTGATCTTCTCAACACTTAACTCTACCATTGGAGGTCCTTCTTCTGTGCTTCCACATGACATACCTCTGTCATGAGCAGAGGTCTCTGCATCGTCAGGTGCTCATCTGAGAGACCCTCAGTGAAGGGTGCCCAGAGAGGAGGGAGGGCTTTGGGGGCCCTTGTTGCCCTCCTGTTAGCCTGTGAGTCTCCCCACTGAGGCCTGACAACTCTCTCTTGCTTTCTGTCTCTCACCCCCCTGCACTACTCATTCCCTCCCCTCTCTGTCTGTTCCCTCCTCTGTCCCTATCTTTCTCTCCTTTTAGCCTCTCAGTCCTTATCAGTTACCTGGACCCTCCCCTTTTCCTCTCTGTGGTCCTGTCTCCTTGACCGGGAACAGACTGTATCCTACCAACACACTCTGCAGGCAAACAGGCCTCGACTGGGGGTCAGGACATGGGATTCCAGTCCTGGCTTGTCCCCAGCTGCTGTGGGCAGGAACAGCTTATTAATAACAACATATTTGCAGGGCCCTTTTCAGCTGACAGCCTGTTGGACCATTGTCTCCTTGACCCCTCACTGCTGCGCCCTCTATAGGGGAAGATGACTCGTTTACACCATGGTGCCAAGGCCTTCCTGACCAGGTCTCGTCCTTGAGGCCAGTGAACTCCGGGGAACTTTGTTATCAGGGTTGGGTTGCATGATTACATTATTGCATGCGAAGGGCTGTGTGCTCAATTTATTACCTTCTGTTCCTGGACAAACAGAACCACAGAACGCTACCCCCACAGATGCAGACTCTCAGAGAGCATTAGAATCGTTCCCGTCCATGAGCAAACAAGTTCTATCATGAGGTTTTCAATTTTTTTTTTTTTTGGTGACAGCCCATAGTAGGAAATGGATATCAACACACAACTGGGACATATATGTATATATATACATATATACAAAGCTGAAACAAAAGCTTGACAGAACTATACTTACCCTTCCCACTCTGCTATTTTCTTTTCTATCCTATTCTATTCCATTAGGAATAACAATGGTGGTCACAACCCTGTAAATTGATTTTATATCCCACCAACAGGTCACAAGGGGAAGTTTGAGAACCTCAGTTTTAGAATCTCCCACCCTCTAGTCCAGCTGCTCTGCGGTCCCTGCTCTCTTTCCCAGCCTTTTCTCTGATACATTCACTTAAGAACTATTTACTGAGTTCTTTGCTTCCCATCAGTTAAATTTCTTAAATGACAGTCCAGATTCATGGTTTCCACCTTCTCAATCGTCCCCTCTAGAAAACCATCAACTGGCCTTTGCTCCTGCTAAGCTGCCAGCAGGGGCCCACCAGCCCTGGCTGTGTGACGTTCGTCACAGCTGACTCTCTTTCTGCTTCGCTTCCCCCTTCGTTTTCTCCCTGGACGATGGGTTGTCCTTCTTGTTCTCTTTGCTGGCTCCTCCTTGGTCCAAGCCAATACATGATTGCTCCCCAGGCTCTGCTCTGCACCTCGACTCCTCTCTCTCTGAGATCGTTTCCTGGGGCTGCCCCGTGGAAATGCCCCATACCTTCAGTTGTTCCCTGATGCTGAAGGATGCGCATCTGTAGTTCCAGCTGTCACCTCTCATGTCCACCTCTGTCAGACCTCTCTGGCCATGTGCCTGCTCAGTGTCTCCACTTGGGGGTCCCACAGGCCTCACACTCCACTCCCTGAATCAAAGATTTAGCTGCCACCCAAACCCGCCTCTCCCTGGTCCTCATCTTGATGACAGGTGCCGCCACCCACCGAGCTATATAGACCAGGAACCGGGGATGGTCCAAGACTCCTCTCTCTTCCTCGTCCCCATAGTCGGTGCATCCCCAAGTTTCTCAAATCTGTCTTCTCTCTGTTTGCATCACCTGATCCTAGTCCAGGTGATGGCATTTCTTGCCTAGACTGTGGAAATCACCTCCTTGAGGTCTCCCTACCTTCATATCATCACCTCCAGACCAAGCTCTTTGGAGCTGTAAGAGGGTTTCTTTCAAAATGCAAGACTGATCTTGTCTCTACCTGGTTTAAAATCTTCCCACGCCTGTCACTTTTAGGGTGAAATGGTAGTTGTTTATCATGACGTAAAGAACCTGTGTAATCTGGACCCAGCTGCCTATCCTGACTCGCCTCTCGCCTGTGTCTCTGTTTTCCAGACATACACAACCACCTCATCTCCTTGGACAAGGTGCCGCTCTCCCCCCAGCCTTTGCACCCCCTGTTCTCTCTAATTTGAGCACTGGCTCAAGTCCGCTGCTTCCTCGGGTCACAGCTTAGCTGACAGCTCTTCAGGAGGCCTTCTCTGACCCACCACGTGTGGTCCTGTGCTCGGCCTGGGCGGTGCTCCTGCGGCACCCTCTGCTTCTCCTCTCACTGTCCTCACCGCACTTTGTCGTAATTGGCTCATCCTTGTCCTCTCTGCCTCCCAGCTGTAAGCTCTGGGAGTCTAGGGGACGCTGCTGTGCTTGTTGCTGTGTCCCCGACATAGAGTCAGGACCTAGCACATAGTAGGCACTCAGTGAGTACTTGCAGAAGAATGGGCTTTTCGACTTAAGGAGTGTTAGAAGCATAATAGAACCACCACAGCGTTAGGAAGGGCCAGTAACCGGATGTTTGGAACATAGACTGTTACCCTCAGAGTCGTAGGATGGTGGAATCACGGAAATACAGTGATTGGAGTCACAGAATGGAGACTCATGGGCCCAGAGAATAGTTCAGCTCCGCCACTTCTCAGCTGTGATCTCGAGCAAGCTGACAAAGCCCTTTATCTGACTTTTGGTTTTATTTTTTATGAAGTGCTGATAAGAGGCCCTGCCTGCCCAGTCTGGGGTTGTAAGCAGTGGCATCACAGAGTTCGACTATGAACAGGCACATCGTGCTCCCTCTGTGATGGAGATGGGTGTCTGACCTGAGTGAGTCTCTTTGTAACCAAGCAGTGGGGCTCTGACTGGGAGGCTGTGGTTGGCTCATTTTACCCAAACTGACTGTGCTTTGGGGCCTATTTTCCTAGTGGCCCTGAGGACAGAGCCTCTGTCCTGGCCTGGCATGCATCAGTGCTCAGGATTAGGGTCTGGGGGTGAGGACAAGAGCCCTTCAGGAGGGATTCTCTATGATCAGGACAGGCAGACCGGCCTTAGAAGCCTGGATTTTACAGATGGAGAAACTGAGGCCCAGAGAGGGTAGGGGCTTCTTTAGGGTCACACAGCATGTTGGGGCAGAGCCACAGCTGGCCACTCCTTTGGGCTCTGAGTCAGGCTTCTTCTTAATTTCCCTAGTTCTAGACTATCCGGAGGCATTTGCTTTGGTCTGGAACAACAGGAGCAATGCTTGGGGTTTCTGAAGACAGTGGTGTTCAGAGTCCATTCTTCAGAACGTGCCAGACCATTACATTCTGCGCCCACCGGCTAAGCAGAAAGTGTGGTTACTCATTCCTTATATGACCACAGCAATGTCATGGGCACAAAGTGGTTCTCACATCCCTGTGTGAGATGAAGAGAAGGAAAGAGGCATTTGGGTCAGGCTCTGGGCTGAGCACACACATCTGTTGCTTCCTCTTATCTCTCTTGTTTAGATGAGGAAACAGAGGCTCAGAGAGGTGAAACAACTTGCCCAAAGTCACGCAGCTCACAAGTGGAGGAGCCAGAACTGGAGCCCGAGTCTCTGATTCTGAGGCCCCTGCTGTTTCTGCTGCGCCATTCTGCCTCCCTTAGACGCTCACTGCCTCACGCCCTGGGAAGTGGACAGAGTGGGGAGGCTGCTGGGAAAATGGACAGGCCAAAAAATATCGTGGGAACAGCAAGAAAAAGTGGGGAAGTGCTCGACTCTTAGACCACGCAGACCTGGGGTTGAATTTTGGCTTTGCTGCTTCCATTAAGCCCCTTAAAGTCTCTATTTCCTTTTCTGTAAAATGAAGAAAATTATTACCTTGCAAGGTGGTGGAAAGGGTTCAATGGAATCACTTATGTAAAGTGGTTCACAGCTCTGAACGCATAGTAATTGCACGGTAAGTGTCTATTATCAATAATAATAATCTCTTACAGTAAACATTTTAGAAGTAGGTGTTCGGTAAAGCCTTATTGACTGATACGGGTGATTCAGTTCACACATCTGCCCTCAGAGCTGAGACGGAGTGTAATGGAGAGGAGGGCAAGGGAAGAGACTAAGATTTATTGAGCTCCTGCTCTGTGTCCAGGCACTGCACTAAATGTCATAATCGCCAGCATCACCTCTGTGAATGCTCACAACAAGGTGCAATTGTTAGTCTGATTTTATAGTCGGAGAGACTGAGGCTTAGAGAGGGGAGGTGGTTGTATGGCTTGTGAGTGGCTAAATGGAGATTTAAACCTTCAGCTGTTGGGCCTGAGAGCCCTTGAACACTGGGCCCCGCCCCTGCACGTTCACACTTGCCCAGAACTTCACTCAGAGCTGGTTCAGCTTAGCTCCCCCACTGAGAGGTCCCCCACTCCATGCCCCGTGCTGCCATGCTGGACCCTCCGAATGGGCTCTGATCCCAGGGAGCACACTGGTCATCAGGGCTTTGCCCCATTCCCTCTGCCAGTCTCAACCTCTCAATGTTCTTGAGGGACCATGAGGTGAGGACCCCCTGCCCATCCAGCCTCATCTCCGTCCACACGTCTGCCCACCTCCATACACAGCCAAAGTCACCCTCACTAGGTGACAGGTCCCCAGACACTTCGGTGCTTTCCATCCATTCAACCTTTGCTCTGCTGTGTCTGCTATTCATGATGACAGCTCCCCTGTCCCGAAAGATTGAAATCCTGAGGGTCTCTAGTTAAAGACCTAGGACCTGGGAGGTCACGGTCTGTCTTCAGAACCAGGGCCTGAGGGGAGGAGAGAGCGGGGTCTGAGTTTGGGAGCAGGAAGTGGAGAATAAGAGGTACAGGAGGAGGGGTAGGGAGTAGGCGAAGAGAGGGTGAAAGGGCAGGGCAGGCAGCACAGTTACATAAGGTGTGTGCCCAAGGCCAGCTCATGATGGAACGTGGGTACCCGGCCAGGGAGGTGAAGAAAGTGCATCAGCCGTGGGCTTTGTGCTGTCGGAGCAGATAGCCCGGGAATGATTAAACAAAGGAGGGATGCTTCAGCCCATGCTGAGCAGCCAGGGTCAACAAACCGCCCTCCCGCCCCAGCCAGCTCTGAGTCCTACTCTTTGGAGCTGCAGGGCAGGCCCTGTAGTAAAAAGAAGAAAGGATACTTCCATTTTAATTTCTGGTGGCAGTCACAGGAATTAAATTTGTAGAGCATTTCCCAGGGGGCATGCTGTGGTCACCTTTGATGCTCACAGTGATCCTGGGAGGTGGAGTTCATGCCCTCCTTTTACAGACTGGGGCTCAGAGAGGGCAAGTGGTTTTCCAAGGCCACACAGAGAGAAAGAGGCAGAGCTGGGACTTGAAGTTCGTTTTTATGCTATTGGCACCTGTGACAGTGGCCCCAGTAAATAAAACATGAAGTTAACATCAATGGGCAGGCTACAGTTTTTGTCTTAACTGATTTACTCCTCACAGCTCTATGTGGAAGGCACTGCTGTTTTCACCCTTATTTACAGAAAGGGAAACTGAGGCATAGAGACATTAAATAACTTACTCAATTCACTGAGTTGGTAAATGGTGGAGCTAAGACGTGAATCCAGTCCCTCTGGTTTCAGAGTCTGTGCTCTTAACTGCTTCACTTACGTGGGGGTGTGGGGTGGAGGGAGTTCCAACTATGCCACGAGGCCCCTGCCCTCTCGCCCGTGGATAGGGGCCCACCCAGGCCCTCTGGTAGACAGCACGGTCAACTGGCCCCCCGGACAGGCAGGTGGATGAGGCAGCTCCTCTGGGATGGCCGCCAGCTTCATTCAGAGGTCTAGGTCAGGGCAGGTGAGGGCACTCCAGGGAACTCTGGTGCCCTGTTCTGGAATTCTTATCTCCAGGGGAAATGAGCAGAACAAGAGGCTGTTGAACTCGCATGAGGCAACGAGTGGGGTGAGGTAACGGTTCTGGTGGGGTCACGGCACTTGGGCAGATGTGGTCAGGGAGGCCAGAGCCTGGGGTTCCAGTCCTGGTTCTGGCCCAGCTCACTGCACAAACTTGGGCAAATCCTTGCCCCTGGGCCTCAGTCTCCCTATCTGTATGGGATGGGGCTTGGACAGTGTGATTTCTCAGGCCCCTGCCAGCCCTGCACCCTCTGCTCTGAGTTATAACTCCTTAGATATGACTTATCTTTTCAAAGGAAGGAAACTCCTTCTTGTCAAGCACCTTCTGGATCAGGAGAAGTTCCTGGCCATTTTTCTACTCCCACCAGCTAATCCTGGCTTTTAGCGATGGTCCCAACCCCCAAAGGAGAGACTGATGCAGAAGAATAGGGCTGGCATTCAGACTCTACGTGTCAGAAATGCTTTACTTGGTGTCAAAAGATTGATACACTTCTATGTTGGTTGGTAAATAGCCATTTCCCTTAACTCCTCCCAGTGCTCCCCATTTGGCCCAGGTACTCCAGCAATTAAGTGGTTAATGCTTGGCAGCCCACTGCCCAGCCAGAAGTGCCAGCATCCATTTGGCCATGCCACCATATTGCTGTGCAGCCGTACCATAGTCAAGTAATGTGAATATCGCCCCAGGAGGGGAAGCAGTGTGGTGGGTGGAGAGGGTGTGACACAGAAGTTCACACTCTGCCTTGCGGCTAACTCCCTGTGTGACCTCGGGCCACTTATCTCTCTCAGCTTCAGTTTCTTCAAGGTGCCCACCTCACAGCGTTGTTGTGTTAAATGGAATAATGGGGGCAAAGCTCTTGGTATGCAGTAGACACTCAGAATATCTTAGCTCCCCTTGTGGCAGGCCAATGAGAAAAGTTTGGATTCAGGGGAGAGCGAGAAGGGTAGTGTGGTATAATAGAAAGAAGGTAGATTTTTGAGCCAGAAAGACCCAAGTTCAAAGTGTGGCTCTGCCACTTACTCATTGTTATAGGCCAAATTGAATCTCCTCAAAATCCATATGTTCAAGTCCTAACCCCCAGTACCATCGAATGTGACTGTATTTGGAGATAGGGTCTGTAAAGAAGTAATTAAGTTAAATGAGGTCATTAGGGTGGGCCCTAATCCAATGTGAATGGTGCCCTTATAAGAAGAGGAGATTTGGACACAGACACACATAGAGGGAGAATGCCATGTGAACATGAAGATGGCCGTCTATAAGCCAAGGAGAGAGGCCTCATGAGAGACCCACCCTGCTAACACCTTGATCTCAGACTTCTAGCCCGCAGAACCGTGAGAAAATAAATTTCTGTTGTTTGAGCCACCCGGTCTGTGGAAGTCTTTGATATGGCAGCCCAAGCAAACTAATACACTCATGCAACATCGAGCTAGTTAGTTAACATTTCTGTGCTTCCTGTAGTAGATTAAATGAGATAATGCGTGAGAAAGCACCTGCGCATAGTAGGCCCTTAGCAAATGCTAGCTTTGCCTCCCCTCCAAGTGTGAGGACAGCAGCCGCCTGTCTCAGGGGAGGAGAGTAGAGATGTTACTGAGTCATTCCGCCTCAGCACGAACCTGCAGAACGCCTGACCCAATCTGGCCCTCACCTTTCCTCAGACTGGCAATCCTGCCCTCAGCTCCACCCCTGGCCTTGACACTGGAGTTCTGTCTGCCAAGCAGCCAGGTGATCAGGGTTCACCGTGGCTGCTGGCCGCGGTCAGCAGCAAACCCACCGTGAGTGGCTGGCCAGCTTGGCCTAGCCCTTGACACTGGGGCAAGAATGGAGGGGCAGGCAGGGTGGCAGGGCGGTGGTCTCGGGGGTGGAGCGACTGACTGTGGTGTCATGGTGGTATTTTCCAAAATACTTGCACACCATCTCATCTGATGCTCATGACAACCCTTTCAGGTGGGCTGGGCTAATGGGCTCCTCTTGAAACAGAGAGAAACTGAGGCACAGAGGAGTTAAGGAACTCCTCCTAACTCAGCAAACCCGAGTTAGGACCTTGGAATCTAGACTCAGGTCCCAGCTCTTTCCACCACTGAGACCACGTGTTTGCCCTCCAAGGCTTTGGGGGGTGGGGGCAGTGGTGGGAAGCACATGGACCCAGGAGTCACCACACCTGGGCTCAAATCCCAGCTGGACCAGGGACCAGCTGGGTGACCCTGGGCAAGTCCCCCACCTCGCCAGGCTGTTGCGAGGCTCTGTGAGAGAAGGGGGCCATCTCTGCCCCTGGAACTCTCAAGGCCAGCAATAATTGGAAGCTCGTGTGACTATTTCATAACTAACTACTCAGTAACTGCTGCTGAATCGAATTTCTGGAGAGCCCGGAAGTGTGTCTGTGGGTGAGAGAGATGTCTGGCACTTCCAGGGGGGCCCAAGCCTTCCTTGCCACACGCCTCCTTCCCCCAGAGCCTGGCAGCCCTTGAGAGGGAATGTAACAGAGGGACCCATGGGTGGTGGGCAGCGGGTCTGGAATGTACCTCCTCCCAGCCCACTGTACCTGTCTGAAACCCCTGTCTCCCTATTTGCAGTTCCTGGTTCAGTAAACACTGTTTTACTTTTTTCCTAGCACCTGTCACCATCCAAACTTACTTGGACTGCTGTATTTTCACTTTTGTCTGCCCCCATCCCCATCCCCTGGAGAATGATGGTTTTGTCTGTGTTGTTCCCCGCTCCATCTCCTGCACCTGGAATAGTGCCTGGCATAGAGTCCGTGTCTACTCATTCTTTGTGAAATGAATGAATGAATGAGTTGATCCTTTGTGGTCAGCCCTTTGCTGCATTTGAGGATGTTGCCTAAGTCAGAGCCCAGCCCTGTTTTCTAGAGGCTTCCAGTCTGGCGGGGGGGAGGGGGCAGACACAGGCACAGACAGTGATCATTGGCATGACCTGCGCTGTGACAGAGGGAAGGAGGCACCTGGGCTGGGGGAAGCCAGAGCAGATGGCATCTGATCCACTTTGGGGAGCAGGAGGGGCCAGGTGGGAGGGCCTGGGAGGCCTCTCAGAGATGCCTCAGCTGACGAAGTGAATAAGAGTTAGAGGGACAAGAAAGGGGACAGCATTCCAGGCCAAGAACAGCATGTGCAAAGGCAGGAAGGCATGAGAGATCGTGTGCGTTAGAGGAGTCTGATGCTGGGCATCAGAGATAGGGCAGCCACTGGGACGGCGGATGCTGGGGGCCGGGGCGGGGGCACCTGAGGGAACAGCGGGGATCTGATGGGAGAACAGCTGAGGGATGTGCAAATCTGAGCTGCTTTCTCTCAGTTCTCAAAGTCTTCCACCCGTTGAGAGGTAGGGCTGCCCCGGGGCTGCCAGTTTGCCAAGTGGCTGCAGGTGTCTCCTCACTCCTACCAGACTCACCCAGGTTAGCGCAATCTCTCCTCCAAGTGGGCCTCTCTCTCCGTCTCTCTCTTGAGAGAGAACAGGGTTGGGGTCAAGGCCCACCTCTGCGGCCAGGCCAGGGTGGCAGTGGGGTCTGGGAGAAGTTGCTCCCCTTTCTGAACTCAGTTTCCGCCTCGGACTGGCAGCGAGTGGGTAATAAGTGCCTTGTAGGCCTCCCGTCCTGGATTATTTGGCAGATGGAGCAGGGTCGGGGGGCATGTGGTAGCTTTTCCAGCCTGAAGACGCTGCCTAGGGGCTCCAGGAAGTAGGACTTATTCCAGCCTCACTAGGAGTGGGGATCAGACTTCTAGCTCCTACTCCTCCAGCCAGAAACCTTTCGGCTCAGGCAGCTGTGGGAGAGCCCTAAAGCCAGAGAGATGGGTTTTGGTCTGTCACAGACTCTCTTGGTGACCTCAGCAAGTTCCCGCCTCTTTCTGGGCCTCTGTCTCCTCTTTCGTAAATTGGATCTAACAGTGCCTGTCCTCACTCTGCAGAGCCAGGACACCTGCTCCTCACCCTGGATTTGGCATTGGCTCACCTTGGTCCCTACCTGTATGTTGAGAGAATTGGACTCGTCATCCTACAAAAATAGAAACCAGTTTAAGAGGCAGAGCATTTATTTGGGATCAAAGAATTGCGTGTCAGGGAGCACAGGTTCAGGTAGAAACCCAGATAGTGTCCCAATTGCAGGAGAAAGGCTGACGATTTTTATGGGAAAAAGGGAGGACAATGAGGTGAGTTGTATTAAGGAAGTGTTCATCGTGCTCGATGAGGAGAGGCTAGGTTTGTACTCCATAGATTGGCTTGAGATTCAGGCATCAGGCAAAAGGCTAGCCTTGTGCTTCATTGATTGGTTGAGATTCAGTCATCAGCAAAGTCCAGTTTCATGAGTCCTTACAAACAGGATATTCTTGTCCTTACCGACTTCTTAGAAGGTTGGTGGTTGGGTCCAGTTTGGAAGATAAAGACAAGTCTTGTGCAAGGCAATTTCTCTGAAATGGCTGCTCCGGCTCTATGTTAATATGGCTCCACTCATGTCATCTTTCACAGACCTGAGGGCCTCTAAGTGGCTCTCCAGCTCAGACATTCTCGCCAGGCTCATAGATTCTGAGGATCCAGTTGGTTCTTGGTGATCAGACCACTGCCAAATACCCACCCAGGTTCTGCTTGACTGCTTCCAGGAAACTCAGCACACCCCCTGCAGCTTCCTTCCACCTTTGGAGAGTTCTAGCAGAAAGGCCTTCCTCACCCTGTATCTTTCTTCCTACATCATCCAACCACTGGGCTCAGTTCTGCCTTTGGAGGCTGCAGAACTCCACACAATTCAATAGACCCTAGGCACTGGGCACCCTGGCCAGGCCTTGTGCTGGACTCCAGGGACATGGAGGAACCAGAAATGGTCTGGTCCTTTAGGAGATCATTGTCAAGCTGGGGAGACAAACCAGTAAACAGACACATAATTTCAGTAAAAGCTTAAGCTATGAAAGAGAACTCTGGAACTACTGGAGCAGAGCCTGAGTGAGGAGAGGTGAAAAGGCAGGGTGCGTGTCAGGTGCCCGGCCAAGAAGTTTCTATGTTGCCCAATAAAGACTGGAGAGACGTGGACAAATCCACTAGTTCTGTCTGACTCCAGACTCAGTAATAATCCCGGCTGCCATCTACATCTCCCTCTAGGCGCCGGGCCCCGTTGCCTCATCAGATACCCCCAATATCTCATTGATCCCCACAACAACCCTGCCAGGTAGTAATACTTATTTCCATTTTGTAGATGAGGAAACTGAGGCCGGAGCAATCAGATATCTCCCGAAGTTCCAGTGCTCAGTACACTTGAAGCCTGATTGCAACCAATCTGAACCAGCCGCAGGCTGCTCCTGCATTTCCTAAGGCCAAGAGCCCGGGTGGTGGAGGTGGAGGGTGGGGTGGGTGGGGAGGTGGGGCTGTGCTAACAACTGGGTGGAAACTTTGGGCCTGAGTGAGCCTTGGGAGGTGTGCCTTTGTGTGAGTAAGGAGGGATCATCCCCCAGCGACCTCCAATTCCCCCTCAAAGGTGGCCTTTGCTGCAGTAGCCTGGCAGTGGGCAGGGCCCTGGTCTGGGGACCCCAAGTCCAGGCTGTAGCCCCGGCTGGCCCTGACCCACAGTGTGACCTTGGATGGGGCTCTTCCCCTTCATGGCTTCAGAGTCCCTGTTTGCAGACCGGAGGCAGGGACAAGCTCCCCAAGCAACAACCACAACTGTGGCTGAGTCAAACACTGTCTGGGACTGATCTAGAAAGGCAGATGTGATTCTGAATGTCCTCCCCTCCCCTGCCCAAAGACCCTCCCTTGTCTCCCGGGGCTGCAGCTGGGCCCACCCTCCATCTTCTCAGCGGGATGTCCTTTCATTTAGGAAGGGAGTTCTGCAGACAGTGAGGGGACAGGAGGGGCGGGAAGGATGAGATCAGCATGGCCCAGCCGCTCCTGGGTAGGTGGATAGCGTTGGGGTCAGACAGGCCATTAACCATCTGTGTGACCTAGGGTGGAGCTCTTAACCTTCCTGACCTTCGGTTTCCATATCTGTAAAGTAGTGATAATAATAGTACCTCCTATTGGGGGTTATTAATAGTGAGGATAAAATGAGGATTAAAGGCAAGTGTGTCTGTACAAGACTTGGCTCAGAGCCTGGTATGTAGTAAGCACTCACCAACGTGGCCTTGGTGATGATGATGTGTGGTGGTGATGGCAGTGAGGGGAGAAGGATGGCCACAACTGTTATGTTGAACAGTAAGAGACACTGCCCCGCCCTCTCCCAACACGCAGGTATTTTCCCACCTCCAGGCTTTGCGCTCGAAGTCTCTTCTCCTTGCCTGCCGGTCCGAGACTCTCCTACTCCCATTCCACAAATGCGTCCTGAGTAACCCAGGGCGCTCCCGGCACCAGGCCCTGTGGATCTGAGCCTGGACGAAGATCTCACGCAGACCAGCACCCAAAGGCTTTGCAGAACTAGTAGAAGGTTTCCCCGGGGAGGGAGAGTTGAGCCAGAGTCTTGATGGAGGAGTAGGAATGGGCTGGAAGCAGAGAACAGGATTTCTTTTTCCATTTAAAGGCATTCCAGGCAGCTGAAATAACATGTGCAAAGCAGAGAGGTGTGAAATAGCGTGTTGAGCTTGGGAAACTGCAAGAAGCACAATACGATTGGAGCGTTGGGAGCAAGTGGGGGGGTGCGGTTAGAGATGGGAGCAGAACGAAGAGAATGTTTGGGGCAGAGCATGAAGTGCCTGTGTTCTAAACAAGACATTTAAAATTCATCATGAAGGCAATGAAGAGTGATTCTTTTCATCATGCAGCAAATGTTTCTGAGGATCTACTTGATCCGAAGCACCTTTGTAGCGGGCGCTGTGATGCGCTGCGTAGGTGCCACGCCTCCCCCTAGGACGAAGCATTCTCCCCTCTGATGGCTCATAGCTCACAGCTGAGTCTCCCCTCCATGCCATTGCCTTAGGCTGAGAGACTCTCCGCATCTAGTGTCACTCCCCCTCCTGGGACCAGCCTGCCTCCAATGATTGGTCTATGTGGGGGTATAAAGGCCCAGCCCCCTTACCCCAATTTGGGACAACTGGGAAAAGCCGTTCCAGCTCCAGAGCTCCTCAGAGGTGGGCTGAGGCCTTCGTGGCATCTGCATCACAGCCCAACTTGTCCCTCTGCCCAGTCCTGCTTCAGTCGATCCCCTACAGGTATTGATCCTGAGATGAATCCCCAGTAAACCCCCTGCTAGCAAATCTTCAACTCAAAATATCCTTCCCCAGGAAGCCAACCTGTGACAACCATCATAGAAGAATGTCAGGGATGGTTGACATCTCGTTGAGGGTCAAAGAGAGACACCTGGTTTTGGAAGGTTGCTCTGCCCACAGTGTGAGAACGAAATGGAGGGAGAGGCTGGAGTCCAGAGGCCAGTGAAGAGGTTGTTCTGATTTAGCAGAGGAATGATGAGGGCACGAGGTGGGTGGGGGCAGGAAGAAGGGATGGATCTGGGGGACTCAGATGAAAGAGAATTGCCAGACACGGGACAGGCTGGGTATGCAAGCTGCCTGGAGCCGCTGGATGAGGTGGAGCCAATTCCTGGGATGGATTTACCAGGACTAGGTTCAGTCTGGGAGTGGAGAGCAGGCCATGCCCATGAGACATCTTGGGGGAAGTCCAGGAGGTGGGGCTGAATATCCATGACCAAGAGATGGATCTGAGCTGGAGGTGTGGATCTGGGGGTAAACCAGCACCTGGCAGTTTACAAAGCATTTACTCACACTCATTAGTTTAATACGGGCACCAACAAATCAGAAGGGTCATGAGAGTCCTAGAGACCTCCTATATGTTAACCCTTTAGTTGCTGAATCATGGGGGGTAGGGGGTGGATGGGAGGGGCATCCAGGGGGCTCTGAGCAGCAGCTATTTACCAAGCAGTAAGTTAGAATCTTTGCATGCCAGCTGAATATCAGCCCTGCTGGTTCCTCAGATAATCCTCTGACGAAACTGTTAAGGCAGATACTATAATCCCTTCTTAAAAAGAGGAAACCAGGGCTCAGTGAGGTGAATGACTGGCCAGAAACTGGACAGCTCCTACACAGAAGAGCTGGAGTTGCACCCGGTCCCACACCTGGTCCCACACCCCATGCCTGTAATTGCTGCGCTGGGATCAGAACCCAGAGTTCTTGGCTTTTCAGTCAGGGTCCTTCCCCTTGTTCAAATGGCCACTTCCTGTAGTGAATTCCAGAACTTGCGATCCTGAGCCAATGTCTCCTTCCAAGAAATGGTGCTGAGAATGTCCAGGCCTGTGGGGGATGTGGGGTGGAGTGGGAAAGCCCAGTGCCAGGCACGAGGGAATTTCTAGACCTGGGGATCCCCCAGCTCCTGGTTGGGAGCCAAGGCGTGTGTGGGAATGTTCACGGCCTCTCCAGTGGATACCGCCTCCCCAGTGGCAGAAGGAGACCTGGGGGCCAGCTGTGCCTGCCTAGGCTTGGGCCCTGCACCTCCAACCCATTCCCTCCAGGGAAATGGGCTACCTGCGAAGCAGTGAGCATCTTGTTACTGAAAATGTTCCTGTGGAACTTGGATATTCATTCACTTGTTCATCCATTCATTTGACATTGAACAACTATTTAGGGAGTACCTCTCAAGTGTCCTGTGCCACCTGGGTCCTGCCTCACCTGGGTCCTGCCTCACCTGGGTCCTGCGTCACCTGGGTCCTGCCCTCACCTGGGTCCTGCCCCCACCTGGGTCCAGACTGGTGGAGGAGTTGGGTGCTAGATGGGTAAGGAGAAGCAGTGAGACAGCCTGGGGATTGTACAGGGCTGTTCTGTTCGTCCCTGCATTCCCTGTGCCAGCACACGTGAGGCCAGCACAGAGGTGTGTCAGGGGCTGTTGATTAATGGATGAAGGAAGGAAGAGTGAAGCTGGACAAAAGGAAGGGCTTCCTGACTGGCAAGAGAGAAAACCCTGCAGGGAGAAGTAGGGGTGGAGGGACACCCCCATCCCAGAGAGCGCCCGCCTCTGCCCTCAGGGTTTGACAGCCACCCATCCAGAGGCAAGAGGCTGACCTCAGAGATGCCGGGCCTTCCCAGATTTGGAATCTTCAGTTCTGCTATGGCTCCAGGTGGCATCCAGCTGCCAAAAGGACATCTTGGCTGTTTGCTCAGCTGTGACCCAGAACACACTGAACTGACTTTCTTGCTAAATCCTGCTCAGGGAGTCTGGGGGAGTGTTGGCAGCAGGGAACGGAGCAGGGAGAGACTCCATCCTCGGTGCTCTGGTCTCCTGTCCCTGAGACCTGAAGTCCTGGGCATGACTTGATAGGGTTGCACTGTGTCAGGTTTTTAAAAACATGACTTGGTGTTTTTTTTCTTTTAACTTTTTAAACTTCTCTGAGAAGGTGATTTGAGAAGCCAGTTCCTTATTCTTCCCCCATCTTTCAGTCACAATTTCGTCTTCATCCCCATGGGGCTGTGGTACTCAGAAAAGAGGATAAGTTCCCCTGTGGCCTCCCACGGAAGAAGTGCCTGATGAGGGGAAGGAGCAGGAGGAAAGCAGGCTTTGGTGAGTACCTACTACGGGCTGGTCTTACGCTGGGTGCTTTGCGTGGCATCTCAATTTTTTTGGTTGAGGAGACTGAGAGATAAAGTAATATGTCCAAGAGCACACAGTTGATGATGATTACGCTAATCCTAATAAAAATGATAGTTATTAGGTGAAACTGTTATTTGAAAAACTGACAACTTATGGTTCAACTGAATACGTGTTATTCAGGCACAACACAGAACGTTCTCTTTATTCTCACGGGAACTCTCTGCAAGGAAGGAGTTCTTATTCTGATTTCAAAGCTGAGGTGATTGAGGCTGAGAGAGAGCTGGTGACTTGCCAAGCCTCCCAGCAAGTCAGGAGCGGGGCGGGGCCTGGGACTCAGGTCAGTTTCCAAAGCCTGTCAGTTCCTTAACCTCAAGCCACCCTGCACTTTGTCTCCTCTCCTGCACCTCAAGCTGACTCAGGAGGTGGAAAGACACTGGCCTGGTGGTTGGGAAATTCTGGCTGGAACAGGCTCTGCCCCAAAGTGCTGAGTGGCCTAGGGCAGGTCCCACCCCTCTCTGGGCTCACTGTCCACATCTGTAAAAGGAGGGGTTACGCTCACCCATTTCCCGCTGTGACCACTTCTGGATGTGTGCTTTGTGCACAGAAGGCTGGGACCACCTCTGTCTCATCTGCGCTCCCAGTGTCTAGGGTGGCCCTTGGCTCAGTGGGGTCTCAGTGAACTGTCACTGACCGTGGGGGCGGGAGGGAGTGTGTGTGGCGCTGGGTGGGCAGCCTGCAGACACCAACCCAGTGGGCAGGGAGTCCAGGGCGGCTCCTTGCAGGTGGGAGGCTGCTCTGCTGGTGAGAGGGTGAATTCTCCCTGCCCAGGCCTCTACAGGGGCAGATTCTGGGGACCCCTCTCAGCTCTTCACCTGGGACGCCCCCCAACAGAAAGGCCTGAGGCTCTCGACCTTCACTGGGCCTCCTGAAAGGTGGGAGGGGAAGCTTGCTGGGGGCTGCAGTGTCTCAAGGCTTCCCTTGAACTGCCCCAGTCACTTACGTCACCGAGTACTCAGCCATGCCCTACCCCACTCTAGAGAAAGAGGATCAAGACGTGGGAATGCCCAGCAGGAGACAGGTAGAGTTGTCTGTCCACCCACCTCAGCTAACCGCCCACCCTCTCAGAGGGGAGGAGTGAGGACAGTATCAGTGCTTTCCACACCCAGGCTCTGGGAGGGAGGCGAGTCTGGCGGTCCCCAGGGAGAGACTCATAGATGCTTTACACCACCACCTGGTTGACCTCCTCATTCATGAACTTCAGGTGGCTCAAGCTGAGGGAGGCATTGTGGGCCTTCATCTTACCATCTGACCAGCCAGCCATAGTAGCAATGGCGACCATTTATCGAGTATTACTGTATGCCAAGCAAGATGCTCAATTCTTTGCATTTATTATCACATTTGATCCTCATAACAGTCCGGTGAGTAAGTTACTATTTTTGTTCCTATTTTACAGCTGAGAAAACGAAATCTTAGAGACATTATGTAACTTGTCCAAGTTCAGACATCTAATAAGTGGTAGAGCTTGGATACAAATCTAGGCTACAAAACTTGGGCTTTTAACTACTACATTCTACTAGTTCCATCCATCCATCCATCTATCCATCCATCCATCCATCCATTCATCCATTCACCCAACCATCCATCCATTCATCCATGCATCCAACCATGCATCCAACCGTGCATGCATCCATCCATCCAACCATCCATCCATCCATCCATCCAACCGTCCGTCCATCCATCCATCTATCCAACCATCCATCCATCCATCCTTCCATCCATCCATCCATCCATCCATCCAACAATCCATCCATTCATCCATCCATCCATCCTTTCATCCATCCATCCAACAATCCATCCATCCATCCATCCATCCATTCATCCAACCAGTTACCCATTTGTATCAGACAGAGTCATAGTAGAAAACAGACTCACACTTAAATTAGGATAGTTCAAGGTGGGCTTATTAAAGGGACTATTTATGAAGATGGAGAGGCAGTGGTATGATGGGAAACCACACAGGATCCTGCAGTATCCTAGAGTTAGGAACAGCAAGGTTGATATTACCTAGAACCTGAAGGGGTGAGAGGAGGGAGATGTTAATGGAACCTGGGGAGAGAGAGGACCTGACAGAAGCAGTGCCCTTTGTCAAGAGATGAGCCAGTCTGAGGCACCGCACAGAGAGGGGTCCTGAGGAATTAGTGCCCCGGCTTCTTCCCTCCTCTCTCCCTGCTGTCTCCTGCTGGGCTCCCCTTCAGCTGACCCAACCAG